CTTGAAAAAAAATAGGACTTAATTGCATTGAAGTGATTGCTTTTCTGTAATTTTTTCACAAACCTTTGAAAGCTTGGGCATCAACAGACAAGTCTGAGTAACTGTATGATTGACTCAAAGTATTCATTTTGAGGAAATCCGTGAACAAGGTATAAACAAGTCTTCAGAGATTTTCTTGTTCTCAAAACTGTTCAGTGTAGTGAGTCCTACAGTAAGTACTTAAGATTCCTTCTGATTTCCTATCAGTTTCTCAACCAAACTACGGTGGAGAAAGCCAGGTAAGTGATTTTGCATTTCTTGGATAATTTGTAATGAAATAATTTTGTGGCATGTTTATATTTAATAAAATATACTAAAAAAATTTTTTTAAATAAAACAAATGTGCTCTCTTAAAATCAGAAAAAAATACTTAAAATAATTGAAGACACATTGATCTACTAGATAATTCTTTGTTCACTAGGATTCTGTAGGGAAAATCGTTGCTAGTTTTGGCAGTGTGGCATACAATTAATTATGAGTAGAAAGAATAAAACTTTTTATTTGTAAAATGTGGTGGGACATTTAGTGAGGGATTTCTGAATCCTGTACTTAAGATATTGCCTAATAGAGCTCAATAGCAAAACAAAACAAAAACTAAACAATCCAATTAAAAATAGGCAGAGGCCCAGCTGGCGTGGCTCAGTGGTTGAGCATCTACCTATGATCCAGGAGATCACGGTTTGATTCCCAGTCAGGGCCCAGGCCCAGGTTGTAGACTTGATCCCCAGCATGAGGCTTGCAGGAGGCAGCCGATCAATGACTCTCTCATCATTGATTTTTCTCTTTCTCCCTTTCCCTTCCTCCCTCTGAAATCAATAAAAGCATATTTAAAAAAAAAAAATAGGTAAAGGATCTGAATAGACATTTTTCCAAAGAAGACAGACATATGGTTGACCAACAGATACATGAAAAAGCAGTCAGTATCACTAATCATCAGGAAACCGAAAATTAAAACAACAATGAGATATCACCTCACATCTGCTAGAGTGGCTATTATAAAAAAGACAAGGAATAACAAGTGTTGCTGAAGATGTGGAGAAAAGGGAACCCTTTTGCACTGTTGGTGGGAATGTAAATTGGGGCAGCCACTATGGGGCAGCCAGTGTGGAGGTAACTCAAAAAATTAAAAAGAGAATTACCATATGATCCAGTGATTCCTATTCTGGGTATTTATCTAAAGAAAACAAAAACATTACAGAGAGACAAGATGGTGGCGTAGGTAACCTTGGTACCCACTGCCTCCCACAACCACATCAAAATTACAACTAAAATATAGAACACCATCATTCAGAACCTCCTGAAATCTAGCTGAACAGAAGTCCTACAACCAGGGAGTCGAAGAAGCATCGAGACCAGTAGGAGGGGCAGAGATGTGGGCAGACTGGGGTGGAATCGATGAGACAGGGCTGCGGGCCCACATCGAGTGCAGCGGTCTAAACCCAGGAGGGATATCTTGGCAGTGGAGGTTTCCCGGAGGAGCAAAGGGGTCCCAGCCCCACACCATGTCCCCCAGCCCAGGCAGGGTTTCCAGTGCCAGGAAGAGAAGTCTCCCCAACTTCAGGCTCTAAAACCCAGCGGGGACTGTCGCTGAGTGACACAGAGGCTGTGGGAGTTCCAGGCAGTACCTCTTAAAAGGCCTGCACACGGATTCACTCAGATGTGCTCCCTCTGAGCTCCAGTGCTGGGCAGCAGTTTGAAAGGAACCTGGGACATTCAGGTAGGAACTAACTTCCCTGGAATCAGGGAGAGAGCTGGAGGGGTAGCTTCCTCCCAGACAGGAGAGCTGGCAGAGGCCATTGTTCCTTTGCTGAGCCCTCCCCCCATGGAACCCATAGGCAGATGCCTTCTCTGAATCACCATCCACCTGACTCACACCTTTCACCCCGTCCTGGTGGTTCCCAGAGACCCCATCCCTCTCTAATTGCTAGATCATCAAAGCCATTTCAGTGGCTTTTCCCTGCAAGTGGCCTCTCTAGCCTCATGCTTAGGACTTTCCTAAAATCTCTCAAACAAGCAGCACCTGGCCTCAGCATGCCCCATACCTCTCAATAAGTGGCCCCAAGCCTGGCACTAGCAGCAGCCTGCATTGGTTCATAGTTTGGCGTCTCTTGGACACCTTCAAGACCAGCACAACTAGCAGCCATCTACAGATTTCTGGGTGGCCTGGAGGAGGGCACAGGCAGAGGCTGATTTTCCACCTCCCGGGAGGCCCCAGAGACAGTGCACCCAGTGATCAGCTTTGAACATGCTGGATTACAACCGTGCCACATCCACAAGTGACATGGTGGATTTAAGACGCGGACTCAGTGAACACCAAAGACCCACTGAAGTAAATCCTGCTCCATAGGGAAGTCTCTAGCACAGTAGCTCTTCAGCTGTAGTTGCAGCTGATCCTCACAGCCAGTTGGCCTGGGGGTCAATTCCTCCCAGTGACACCCACAGCAACCAAGGCTCAACTACCACAGGACAGTGCACACAGCACACACAGGGGAGCACCTAGAAAGCCCAGCTCAAGGGACTTGTGAGACTGAGCCACTGGGCCCTATAGGACAGCTACTACCCAAAGCCACTTTAGCAATTCCAGGAAACATAGCAGCTCTACCTAATACATAGAAACAAACACCAGGAAGCAGCCAAAATGTGGAGGCAAAGAAACATGTCACAAATGAAAGAACAGAAGAAATCTCCAGAAAAAGAGCAAAATGAAATGGAGCCAAGCAAGCTACTAGATACAGAGTTCTAAACAATGGTTATAAGGATGCTCAAGGATCTTAATAAGACTATTAAGGAAACTAGTGAGATCATCAGTGACATAATAAAGAACCAATCAGAAATGAAGGCTCACTAACTGAAAGAAAGAATAATTTACAGGGAATCAACAGTAGAGTACATTTCTCCAAGAATCAAATAAGCAATTTGGAACATGAGGAAGCAAAAAACACCCAACCAGAAGAGCAAATAGAAGAATGAATCCAGAAATATGAAGATAGTGTAAGGAGTCTCTGAGACAACTTCAAGCATACCAACATTCACATTATGGAGATGCCAGGAGAAGAAGAAAGAGAGCAAGAAATTGAAAATCTATGTGCAAAAATGACAGAAAAGTTCCCCTGCCTGGGGAAAGAAATAGACTTACAAGTCCAGGAAGCAGAGAGTCCCAAACATGATGAACCCAAAGAGGCCCACAGCAAGACACATTGTGATTAAAATGCCAAAGGTTAAAGACAAAGAGAGAATCTTAAAAGCATCAAGAGAAAAGCAGTTAGTTACCTACAAGGGAGCTCCCATAACACTTCAGCTGATTTCTCAACAGAAACTTTGCAGGCCAGAAGGGAAAGGCATATTGAAACTGATGAAAAGCAAGAACCTACAACCAAGATTACCCAGGAAAGCTATCATTTAGAATTAAAGGTCAGATAAAGAGCTTCCCAGACAAGAAAAAGCTAAAGGAGTTCACCACCACCAAACCAGTACTACATGAAATGTTGAAGGGTTTTCTTGAAGAAGAAGCTAATGAACAAAAGAAACTGACAAAGTAGACCTAGAGATATTCAAGCATGCCATACCTCAGAGGGAAGGGGGTTGGGGGTTGGGAAGAGATTAACCAAGAAAGCTATATGCATATATGCATAACCCTTGGACACAGACGATAATGGGGTGTAGGCCTGGGGAGGGGGTGGGAGTGAGGTGATGAGGGGATTAATGGGGGGGAAATGGGACACCTGTAATACTTTCAACAATAAAGATAAATTAAAAAAAAAAAAGAAAACAAAAACACTAACTGGAAAAGATACATGCACCCCCATGTTCATTGCAGTATTATTTTGAAACGCCAAGATATGGAAACAACCTAACTATTCATCAAGACATTACAGAAAAATAAGATGTGGTATATACATACAATGGAATATTATCAACCATAAAAAAGAAAATCTTGCCTGGCCAGGTGCAGCTCAGCAGTTGAGTGTCGACCTAGGATCCAGGCGATCGGGGTTCGATTGCCGGTCAGGGCACATGCCCAGGTTGGGGGCCCGATCCCCAGTCGGGGACATGCAGGAGGCAGCCAATCAATGACTCTCTCATCATTGATGTTTCTATTTCTCCCTCTCCCTTCCTCTCTCTGAAATCAATAAAGATATATTCTTAGAAAAAAAAAAAGAAGAAAATCTTGCCATTTGTGACAGCGTGGATAGACCTTGAAGGTATTATGTTAAGCAAAATAAGTCAGACAGAGAAAGACAAATATTGTATGATCTCACTTATATGTGAAATAAAAAAGAGCTCATAGTTACAGAGAACAGGCGGGGGTTGGGGGTGAACGAAATGGGTGAAAGGGAATCAAAAGATATGAACTTTCAGTTGTAAAATAAGTCCATAGGGATGTAATTATATAGCATGGTGACTATAGTTAATAACTGTATTCCATACTTGAAAGTTGCTAGTAGATCTTAAAAGTTCTCATCACAACAACAAAAAATTTACAACTGTATATGGTGAAATATGTTAACTAGAATTATTTTGGTGATCATTCCACAATATATACAAATATCAAATCTTAAACCAAATAATGTATCTCAATTTTTTTTTTAAATATATCTTTATTGATTTCAGAGAGAGGAAAGGAGAGAGATGGAAGCATCAGTGATGAGAGAGGCACTGGTCAGCTGCCTCCTGCACGCCCGACACTGGGGATTGAGCCCACAACCTGGGAATGTGCCCTGACTGGGAATCGAACCGCGATTTCCTGGATTATAGGTTGACGCTCAACCGCTGAGCCACGCCAGCCAGCGTATCTCAATTTTTTTTTAAATGTCACCTGACTTGAGATTTTCACTAATTAGCTGATGAACCGATTTCACATGCAAAATTATCCTTTTGTTTACAGTTATCATTTTGGGGACTATGCTTGGTTCTCTTAAAAGAGAGGAATGTAGCTGTTTGTGGCTCCCGTTTTTTGGCAGATGAACTCCAAGCGAGCCCAGATGACTCGGATAACAGCGTGTCAGAGAGCCTGGATGAATTCGATTACTCTGTGGCTGAAATTAGCCGCTCATTCCGTTCACAGCAGGAAATATGTGAGCAACTCAACATCAATCACATGATCCAAAGGATCTTCCTCATTACCCTGGACAACAGTGAGTTACACACTTGCAGCCAGTCTATTCGTTGCCTTGCCCTTCCTGCCTGGGTTAGGGACTTGCTCTTAGAAATGTGTTGTATCTGGTGGTTAAACAAACCTTTGGTCCTCCCTGGAGCACAGGCCTTAGATTTCAGCAAAGCTTTGATGTAACCTAAACTCAGTGTTTAGACACAGATGGAACTTTCCTTCCCAGTTTGATACTGACTGAGCTATGCAGCTACTTGCCTTTACTGCCTTAAAGAGGACATGGGAATGAATCAGTTTGCTTCTCAGAGGTGACCTAAACATTTAGATGGAAACCCCAAGAGGTATGAGACAATGTTTTCCCTCTGTGCCTTATCTGTAGTTAAACCCAAAGTCAGTGCTAATGTCCAAGATTGACTCTTAAAATGTCATGATGTTAGGTTTATAACAAGCCCTTGCCCTTTAACTGGGTTCGGGGGAGGGGTTACATCTTTAGATACTGCTTTATAAGTCAAGATCATTCGAATATTAGCTGAGTCAAACTTGGAGTTCAAGAGAAGTGCTGTCTAGAACGATTGTCTGTATAAAACAGAAACATTATCCTTAACCTACTAGATTAAAACCATTTCCCAGGTGACCCAAGCTTGAAAAGTGGGAATGGCATCCCCAGCCGCTGTGTGTATTTGGAAGAAATGGCAGTAGACCTCGAAGATCAAGACTGGCTTGATATGAACAACGTTGAGCAGGTAGCATTCATGTGTTCCTATGTGTGTTGTCAGCAAAAGCTAGCCGTGCAGCTGAACTCTGCTCGCGTCTCTCCAGCCACGACTCTGCTTACCTCCATCTCTTCCGTTGTTTGTGGGGTTCCTCTTTTGGAACCTTCTTACTTACCATGACTACATGTCCAAATCTTCCCACTCTTTAAGACCAGTTATAATGTCATCTCCTTCTTCTTTATATCTTTTCCAAAATCAAAACGCATTTTACCTTATACGTGCCTAATTAACATTAGAGGAATAAAAGTTTGGTAGGGGAGACGACAAGTTGTAGGTTAACTTTGTATGTTTAAGTTATCTTTTATATAGTTTGAGTGAGGTCAGCAATCACACAGAGTAGTAGATTTCACATAAGTTTAATTCTAGATTCTTTACATCATTCAACAAATACTCTGTTAATGCTTACTCTGTGCTAGGGGCTGTACTAAATACTTGAACTTGATTTAGAATAACTTTATATATATACACCATTATGTTGTATATATAATATTTTCTAAAGTAATAAGACCCTGGGCCCTATTTCCCTCTTTACTCTGCATCCTGTACTTCTCGCAATAACCTGTCAGAATTATCTTTTACATCTTGATGTTCTCAGGTTAACTTTGAAATGGTTTAGTGTTTTTGTTTTTTCTTTGTTCTTAATAGGCTGTCTTTGCTCGCTTACTACTTCAAGATCCAGGCAACCACTTGATTAACATGACTTCTTCTACAACGTTGAATCTCTCTGCTGATCGAGATGCAGGAGAGAGGCACATTTTTTGTTACCTTTATTCCTGCTTCCAAAGAGCCAAGGAAGAGGTAATAATAATAATTCCCACTGAGTGCTGCACTGTCCTCTTGGGTATGACTTTAATGTGTAAGCCAGAGAGTTGGTTCAATGTCTTTTATATCAGTTTATATACATCATAGATATCTGTAACAGGTACTGACATTAGGCACTATTAGTTTGTCTTCTAAAGTGTTAGACTCGCCCCTTTTCCCAGTGAACCATGGCCTCTTATTCTCTCTACAAACCTCTTAAAAATCACACCCCTAAGAAAGGTCTGGTAATTCATTTCCACTGCAGTATAAATGATCGAGCAGGCCAAGCATGGTCACTTCCAGGATTGGAATTCTGACAGGTAGGTGATTCCTTAAACCAAAGAATGAAATCTCATGAGTTTTCAAGCATCCATGGGAGAGCGGTATTGTTTGGGAGTACAGTCTCTTTCCCATTGTATTTGCTATGTACAACCTTGTTCCAGGTCATAGAACTGGGCTATTCCCTCTCTTCTTTATGCCGTTTCCAGATTACCAAAGTTCCAGAGAACCTGCTACCTTTTGCAGTGCAGTGCAGGAACCTCACTGTGTCTAATACACGAACAGTTCTCCTCACCCCAGAGATATATGTTGACCAAAACATCCACGAGCAACTGGTAGATTTGATGTTGGAAGCCATCCAAGGAGCCCGTGAGTACATAAGCAAGAGCTGTGAGCGTCTACACTTTGATTTCCAAATTTAAAACTCCTCTAAGTGCATTGGAAAGCCTCAGAGTCACTGTGGGTCCAGTAAAAATTAAGGAAGAGAGTTCACACTTGACCTTTGAGGTTGAATATCAGTATAATTGTCAAAAGTATCAAGAGAGTATAGAGCCAAGGGTGTAAAGGCATATAAAAATTCCTGTGGCCCTTTCCTCTCTCCTTCGCCTTGTTAGATTTTGAAGATGTAACTGAGTTCCTGGAAGAGGCCATTGAAGCCTTGGTGTTGGATGAGGAAGTGCGAACATTTCCAGAAGTCATGATTCCAGTGTTTGATATCTTATTGGGCCGAATAAAAGATCTAGAGCTCTGCCAGATGCTGCTGTACGCATACCTGGATATCCTGCTCTATTTCACTAGGCAGAAGGACATGGCAAAGGTAAGGCTGACAGGTGGCATATAAATGAGATTTAATAATTTGTGCTTCCCTGTCCTGAGGGCACCATGATATTACCTGTTGAATAAGAGAAGGGTGTGCTGGTTGTTGTGTAGACTTAACTCCTCGAGACCCTCTCACCCCATCATATTTCTCTCATCATACAAACAGATAAGTGGGACTTATCTTCTCCTGCAGGTTTTTGTCGAATACATTCAGCCCAAGGACCTTAGCAATGGGCAGATGTACCAGAAAACCTTGCTGGGAGTAATCCTGAATATCTCCTGCTTATTAAAGACTCCGGGTGTCGTAGAAAATCATGGCTATTTCCTGAATCCATCTCGTTCCAGTCCCCAGGAGATCAAAGTACAGGAGGCCAACATCCATCAGGTGGAACTGTTTACAGTGTATCCCAGCCCCCGATCTTAGGTTTAGTCGCCTCCTCAGGAGGGCATGCAGACGAGGCTGCTTGAGCTTCTGTGGGAAAGGAGGAGGACTGGTTGGCTTTCTACTACAATCCTGTGAAAACAGAGCCCTCTTTAGAGAGTGTGCTGAGTCAAGGAAACACCTTAGTGTGGTTTAGAGGATATACTGCTATGCTGCAGCACAGCCGCTTCCTCCTGCCCCTTGTTTTTCTCACCAACTCTATTTCTTAAAACTTCAGCTCCTAAATCTGACTGAACTCCAGCTTATAAACCAATTTCTTTCCTGTGCCTCCTTCCTATGTCCTCTATGTGGGCTTATTAGCATTAATTATAGTAGAAATCTGGCCAACTTGAGGCAGTAAATGGTTGAATTGGGGGTAGTTTGAATCTCCCGTCATCACAACTCTCTGAAGCACAGGTTTGCAAATTACAGCAGTAGCCAACCTGCCTGCCACCTGATTTTATAAATAGTTTGATTGAACACAGCTATGCCCGTTTGTATATGTTTGTTTATGGCTTGATTTCATGCCCTAATAGTAGAGTTGAATAGTTGCTACAGAGACCACATGGTATGCAGAGCCAAAAATACGCACCATTTGACCCTTTGTGGAAAAAGGTTATCGACCCTACTCTAAAGTTTTATGAATGCTCTGTGCATTTGGCAGCTCGTCAGGAATCTCTCATCAGTGCCCAGAAAACATTTTAAATTAGAACTGGGGGATAAGGAAAGATTAGGATTGGCATATTTTTAGAAATTGCCAGTGGCTAAGGTTTGGGAGTAACAAATATTAGGATTGTGAAACTGGAATGTTCTGTGGTTATGTTTTCTGGTTAAACAGTTCATGGCTCAGTTCCATGAAAAGATCTACCAGATGCTGAAGAACTTACTCCAGCTCTCTCCAGAAACCAAACACTGTCTCTTGTCCTGGCTTGGAAACTGTTTGCATGCAAATGCAGGCCGCACCAAGATTTGGGCCAATCAGATGCCAGAAATCTTCTTCCAAATGTATGCCTCGGATGCCTTCTTTCTGAATCTGGGTGCCGCCCTCCTGAAGCTGTGCCAGCCATTTTGCAAACCCAGGTCCTCTCGACTCCTCACCTTTAATCCCACTTACTGTGCCCTGAAGGAGTTGAATGATGAAGAACGAAAAATAAAAAATGTACACATGAGAGGTAGGGGAGTACTGGGCTTCCCAAAGAGTGAGTGAGTGAGTGTGTGTGTGACATCTGAGGCACTCGCATCCTTACCCTTTCTCACAAAGGTGCCTCTTGAAGAAGATGAGGCAGACAGAAGAGCTATTATAAATTTTATAAGAACACATTTTTACAAATAAAACTGGTAGCTTTTAGGTGTGCTTTAGTGAGACCTCTCTGCATTTGGCAGCCTTTGGGTATGCATTCATTATTCCTTTTAAATGTGAATAAAGCACAGTCCCTAGCCTTGATGAATTCAGAAATGCCAGGGGACGGCAGATACAGCAACAGGCGATCGTAATATGGTGCAGGGCTGAGCTAGCGGAACCAGAGGAAGAAGTGAGAAATTCTACAGACATTGGAGGTCTTCATAGCTAAGCTTTGAGAGATGAGGGTTTATCAAGCAAAGGAGCCAAAGGATCCCTTTATACAGAGGGAATAACAAGAATAAAGGTACAGAGCTATGGAGGGTTCAACCAAGGAACGGTGAGAAGGTCATTGTGGCTAAAGCAAGGGGTAGGTGGGGGGAGGAAAGGGTATGGGAATGGCAGGAAATGAGTCTGGGGAGGCAGAAGATTGGGGCCAGATTAGAGAAAACTCGAACAGTACAGAGAAGTGAGAAGAAAATAAATCACAGTTCTACCACTCAGAATAAATTACGCTTAATTTCAGTATACGTATTTCCTCCCAGTTTTATAACTCTTCTAGTTATAAAAGTAATTTATATTCAAAAGCAAATAATCTTAAATACAGAAAAGCACAAAATAGAGACAGTGATCCATTGTCTAGCACTTGAGAAATCTGCAGTTAACTATCATTCCTCTTAATTTTTGGTTATTTCATGATCAAGCTAAAGAAATTTAACTGCATTTCTGTAGATAGTGAGAGGCCAAAAGATACTTTTAGACAAAGGAGTAGTAATGTGATAAGATCTGTTTTTAAGATGATATTAAAGACAACAACACTGGCAGTGGTGTGGAAGTTGAACTAGAGTAAGGGCCCCGAGACTAGGGTAGATGTCTGTGGTGAGCCATTCACTGTTCCTTTTCACTTCTCTGAGGTTTGGACAAAGAAACCTGTCTGATCCCAGCTGTGCAGGAGCCAAAGTTTCCCCAGAACTACAACCTTGTGACGGAGAACCTTGTCCTGACAGAGTACACCTTACACTTGGGGTTTCACAGGTAACCCTCCAATGTCATTAAGGGAAGAGCTGCTTAGCTGTGCTGATGACCAGAAGGCTCAAAGTGCATCTCATACTCCCACTTTCCTCTGACGGCTTACATTAGGGTCTGGTAGGAAGGGCATTATATGCATTTATTTGTGTTTATGTGAATTGGCTTTGTCCAGATAACTTGAATTTATTTTTAATTATTGACCTGTTAAACTTTTTAAGATTAAACATACACTAGTATTCTTCTCTAAAGATGCAGATTTTAAAATCACTGTCTTCCTGTTGTCATATGTGAAAATGGAATTTTCATTTGATATTTCACTTTTGCTCTTGAATTTTCATTACTTACTACTCCTGATGAAAAAAGACCAAGCTCTACGCTATGGTATAGAGACAAATTAAAGAAATGTTCATAAGGGATTCCAGTAAGGTCAGTAGGACCACAAAAGGTCCATGTTTCAAAGATGAAGGGGGTTCTAGAAGTGTGAAGATTCACGAACTAGAGCATATGACTTTCAGAAATGGTTCTGGTTCTAGCTAGCTATAGGCATTCGAGGATTTTTTTCCCTCTGATTCAGCTGACTGTGACTACAAGTATAAATAAGGAGAGAAAATAGCTACTCGCTCACAGTTATAGACTATAGGAAGTGGTATTGAGGGTAGCAATTTTTAATACCTTAGGATACTTATATTGACAGAGCATTTTTCAAAAAGGCAAATTTCTCAAAAAATGAAATTATATTTTTATTAGAGTTTTTCTATCTCTGTCATTGACATTTTTTTGTTTGTTTTTTGTTTAAAATATTACAGATGTCCCCTTTTCTCTCCAGTGACCCATTCCACCCCGTCCCACCCCCCTCCCCAGTCCCTCTCCACACCGTTGTTTGTGTCCTTGGGTTGTGCATATATGCATATAAATTCTTTGGTTACTCTCTCCCCCTCCACCCACCCGCTCTCCTCCATCCCTCAGATTCGTCAGTCTGATCCATGCTTCCATGTCATTGAATCTGTTCTGTTCATCAGTTTATTAAGTTCTTTAGATTCCACATATAAGTGAGATCATGTGATGTTTGTCTGTCTCTGCCTGGCTTATTTCGCTTAGCATAATATTCTCCAGGTCCATCCATACTGTCCCAAAGGGTACGAGGTCCATCTTCTTAACAGCTGTGTAGTATTCCATGGTGTGAATACACAGCTTTTATCCCACAGCTTTTATCCACTCATCTACTGATGGGCACTTGGGCTGTTTCCAGATCTTAGCTATTGTAAACTGTGCTGCTATGAACATCGGGGTGCATATATTCTTTCTGATTAGTGTTTCAGGTTCTTAGGATATATTCCTAGAAGTGGGATCACTGGGTCAAAAGGCAGCTCCATTTTTAATTTTTTTGAGGAACCTCCACACTGTTTTCCATAGTGGCTGCACCAGTCTGCATTCCCACCAGCAGTGTCCTAGGGAGTCACTGACATTTTCAGTGAGACAGTAGATAACAGTTCAGTATGTTTGACCTGTTTAACCTCCTAGATTCAAACACAAAAATGATGTCATCTAATTTCCCACTATAGGCTGCGTAGCTTGGCCGTTATCTAAGGGCCAAACGAGATGATTTTGGACTATACACATAGAGAAGACTCTGTAACGTTGAATTATGGGTCTTCTTTTCGTTAGAGAACATTTGGCTGACCCTCTGAGAAATAATTTTATATTGAGCCGCGGAAGGCTGGAAGCTGCTGCTCGTACATTGCATCCTGGTGGCTGCTCGCTCATGTGGGCGTCACTGACGTAGGGTCCTCCTGTCACCCTCATCTGACGAGTGAAGATATTTTTTCCATTGATTTTTAGAGAGAGTGGATGGGGGAGGAGAGAAACATCTATGTGAGAGAGAGAGACATCGATTGGTTGCCTCCCACATGAGCCCAGACTGGGTTCGGGGATCAAACTTTTCGACCCTCCAGTGCAGAGACTGACACTCTTAACCACTGAGCCACGCCGGCCAGGGCTTTAATTCTCTTCTAACCATGGAAAGACTGTCCATGAAACCACATCTAAGTACAGTCATTGCACTTGTGTGTTGTCAGACTCTCCTGCTGGGCTGCTTGTATTTTGCTTAATAGTTATTTATTTGACATAATAACAGCCCAGTCTACACCCTGCCTACTATTTGTAATTACCTGTAATTATGTTGAATACTTGGTAACATTTTCCCAGTGCTATGCCCCCTGCCTCTGTCTTCTCAATAACTTTCATGAGTGCCTTCTGTATTATCGTAATTGCAGCTCCCTACATCCTAAAACAGATACTAGAATAAATAAGGATTTGTATTTCTGGAATGGTCTGTACTCAACTATCCCTATAATATGTGCCTCCTGACCCAATCTCTTCTGCTTTCTTGGGAGCAGGTTGCATGATCAGATGGTAAAAATCAACCAAAATCTGCATCGGCTGCAGGTCGCCTGGCGGGATGCTCAGCAAAGCTCTAGCCCTGCTGCTGACAACCTGCGTGAGCAGTTTGAACGACTAATGACCATCTATCTTTCTACCAAGACTGCCATGACTGAGCCACAGATGCTACAAAACTGCCTAAATTTGCAGGTGTCTATGGCTGTTCTACTTGTTCAGCTGGCCATAGGCAATGAGGGCTCACAGCCGCTAGAGCTCACTTTCCCTCTGCCGGCTGGCTGCAGCTCCTTGGCTTACGTGCCAGGTAAGCAGGCTTCCCCTGGGAACTTTCTGTTCAGAGCCACCTAAGTTTAATTGGGTCGCTGTGGAAGTCTCATCCTCAAAATACCCTTCCTTAGTTATATGCAGCTGTTTCTGGACAAACTACTCATACTTGCAGATAACACCTACTGGTCAAAGTATAGGGGAGCTGACAGCTATGTACTCAGCCCTGTGTCCTCACTGCTCTGCATATCAGAAAGCAGTCTTCTAATGACTAAGGGCAGTCAAGGTGTTCTGAGCTGTTAGTTTCTATCAACTTCAAAATGTATCTAACTCGCCCTGTGCTATTCTTTAGGGGGGAAAATCATCTCTTAGTTAACTGAGAAGGGAGCTTGTGTGTGTGTGTGTATGTCCTGAGTGGTTGACAGGTATTGTGCATCAAAATCAGATTATATGTTCTTGATAACTATATTAGCCATCTATTGCTGAGTAACAAATTACCCCAGAACACAGAAGCTTTAAAACAGCAAACATTGTTTCACACGGATTCTCTGGGAATCCAGGAGCAGCTTAGCTGCCTGGTTCTGACTCTGGGTCTCTCATGAGGTTTTAGCCAAGCTGTCAGCCAGGGCCATAGGAATCTGAAGGCTTGACCAGGGCTGAAGGATCTGCTTACAAGCCTAGTCATGTGGCTGTTGGCAGAACTCATGTGGCTGTTGCATGCTGGCCTCTTTTCTAGACCACACAGGCCCCTCCTTAGTACTACTCATGACATGGCAGCTGGCTCCCCCCAGAACAAGTGACCCAAATGGGAGCTGTTGACTTCTATAACCTAGTCATGAGAATGACACGCCATCAGTGGTGTATGCCTCAGGGTGCATCTTCCACCCAGGAGGAATATGGGGCGGGACACACAAGGGCGTGAATACCAGGAGGTGAGAACCAACCTGGAGATTGGTGACCACAGTCACCTAACAAATCTTTATTCAAGATTCCTCATATCTCTGAGGGTTGTTAGTGCACAGTTGACCTTGAGTGTGGACTTTCTTAAACTTCGCTGGTGTATTAACAGTATTTTTGTGTCTCTACGACTCTTGGATAAAAATTTAAATTGACACATTTAAAGGAGAGTCTACATTTATTAACTTATCACCATTCCTTGTACCTACAAGACATTTGGGTTTTGTTAACCTTCATTAAGTACAGTGTAGAATTTGTATGTACAGAAAGTCAGACATTTGGCTAATGCCACTGATTTTCCCCCCCAGAATTTTTTGCAGATAACCTGGGCGATTTCCTGATTTTCCTCCGCCGCTTTGCCGATGACGTCTTAGAGACATCAGCAGATTCCCTGGAACATGTCCTTCACTTTATCACCATTTTCACTGGCAGCATAGAAAGGTGAAGTACTAAAGCTGAGCTGTCACTGTTTAGAGCTATAAAACATTCAGAAGACTAAACCAAGAAACAAACAAGGCTGATCAGAGTTGCCTTTGGAAGTTGTGTTAACATTATCGACCCCCTGTCCATCCTTATGGGTAGCCAAAAATGCCACTCTGGGGAGGCAGAGGACTTTGCCCACAGAGAACTTGAGCTTGCATATCAGGTACCTGATAGGACTTCCACTGCTGCCCCTGGTTAAAATGTTACCTTCATGGAAAAGCTTTGCCAGTGGCAGCCAGGTGCTAATGATCTTTTAATAATTGTATGATACAGTTTGCTCTTGGAATCCTGAGTTGGATGAGCAGTAAACTTAGGTGAATGCTTCCTGATTTCAAGTCTCTCATTTGTAGCCTCTGGTCCTCTTTCCCAAAGGGAGATACTCTGACCTGTAGAGAGGCGTCTCTGATTTTTCTGGTGCCTAGGCCAAAGGAAATAAACAATGTGTACGTAAAGGAAGATTTGCTACACAAAGAAAGTGATCCACAATCCCTGGAGCCGTGTCAGTGAGAAGTAGGTAAAAGCCAATCCTTCCCTGAGCTGAGCAGATCTAATGAGAAAACAAGCCAGCAAATATTTATTAGGTGCATGTTGTATGCACTGTGAGTAATATAGAGTAATCATCCTGGCCCTTGCTTTCCAAACGCTTGGAAAGGCAAGTCTGTCCCAGATGGGACAGCCGGAATAGTAAGAGTAAGAAATGCATTATCGTAGAGAAGTGCACAGAATGGTTAAACGTTAAGTGCTCACCCTCACACATGGTAAGCTACGGCCTCAAAAGTTGAACGGTGTCCCCTGCATTATCCCCCAGAAGTGACAGACTTAAAACTGCAGAATCCTCTTTTTGCCCCATAGTGCTGGGATAAGGATGTTTTGGCTCCCGTGGAGACTAGCCATAAAATTTCAGTCCTTGGCTTGGATGCTTTTGGCATGGTCTTTGGAGGCTGGGCCAAGCCACTTTATCTAAGCAGTTTCAGTCTCTCCTAACCCTCCTGAGCAGACTGGATAGCTAGGGCCCCACACCAGTGTGTACACCAGTACTTTTGGATAAACAGAAATGTAAATGGCTGAAATGAATGATGATGAAGATAATGAAATAGTTTTCAAACAGCCTTATCTGGCATAAAAGAAGAAACGAGAGACTGAAACACCTGCACATTCACGGGGAGAGATGAGGGAAAAGCAGTCTGTGATCTGAGTGCATTATGTACGATGCTTCTGGGAAATGTGATTTTACTATGAGGCTGCTTTTTTTGTATTTAAGTAGATACAGTGAAAGCAACTGCTGACGGGGTTATCAGAAAAAACACTGAGGGTTCAGGTCAGTAAGGAAATGGTAACTTGCTCGCCCCCCGGCTAAGACAGACGTGCACACCTTCCTGCAGCTGCCGGGCTCACACTGCCTCTTCGTCCCAGTCTCTTCTAGTTTTCTTTACAGATGCATATCTGTCTTCAGTTACGAAGGGTACAATGGTCACCCATTAACTTCAGGTTTAAGTACTAAACTGCAGTCTTCATCAAATAAAAGAAAATACTTAGAAAAATCTACCAACTTAGCTTGCTTTCTGCCCTACTTGCAGGATGAAGAATCCCCACCTAAGGGCCAAATTGGCAGAGGTGTTGGAAGCAGTGATGCCCCACCTGGATCAGACCCCCAATCCCTTGGTATCCAGTGTGTTCCATCGGAAACGTGTGTTCTGCAGCTTTCCCTACGCAGCCCACCTTGCAGAAGCGCTAATCAAGGTCTTTGTGGACATTGAGTTTACAGGTAAAGCACTCTAGAACTGAAAAGCTGGTATGTGTGCAGTTTCATAGCTTGATCAGTATTTGAATATCAGAAAAATGTCATCCTCATTTATTGAATTCCTACCATGTGCCACCTTGATGCTAAGTGCTTATATTGTTTCATTAATTGTCACCATCTGGAAAGTTTTATTGTATTGTCCTCATTTTACATATGAAGATATGGATCCTCAAAAAGATTAAAATACTTGTCTGTCATACAACTAAGTGGTAGGCTCAGGTCTGTCTCACCTAAAAAAAAAACATTCTTACCAACTTTATTATATTGTTTGATCAGATCATACTCAAGCAAATTAGGCTGTCCAATTAAAACCTGAGTCTGTATTTTCTCTGCCTCAAAATTTCAGAATAGTGGATAATGACACAGTGCGCTGGTTGGGATAGTCTTTATCCCTATTGTCTAACTCTCACAGTCAAATTGTTAGATAAGAATAACAGCAGGCACCTGGCCCACATGGCTCAGCGGTTGACCATTGACTTTTGATCCCGGAGATCGAGGTTTGATTCCCAGTCAGGGCACATGCCCGGGTTGCAGGCTCGATCCCCAGTAGGGGGCGTGCAGGAGTCAGCCGATCAATGACTCATCAGTGATGTTTCTCTCTCTCTCTCTCCCTTCCTCTCTGAAGTCAGTAAAGACATTTAAAAAAAACAGCAGGCAACATTCCCTTTCTCTCTTCACCTTTTGAGATCTAACCCTAAGGTGCTATGTTTGAGTAAACAATACCCCATCTCAAGCAGTAAACAGGATGTTAAGCAGTTATTTAAAACCCCTTTGGGGTTTTTTTGTTATTTTTTTAATCCTCACCCAAGGATGTGTGTTTTTATTTTAGAGAGAGGAACGGAGAGAGAGAGAGACAGAGAAACATCTGTGTGAGAGAGAAACATCAACTGGTTGCCTCTTGTACATGCCCCAACCAGGGACCAAACCAGCAACCTAGGTATGTGCCCTGATCAGGAATCAAACCCACAACCTTTTAGTGTATGGGACAGCACTCCAACCAACCGAGGCACACCAGCTAGTGCAAGATCCCCTTTTTTTAAAAAATATATTTTTATTTCAGAGAGAGAGATAGAAACATCAGTGATGAGAGAGTCATTGATCAGCTTCCTCCCTGACTGGGTATCGAGCCCGCAACCTGGGCATGTGCCCTGACCAGGAATCAAACCCCGATCGCCTGGATCTTAGGTCGATGCGCAACCGCTGAGCCGCGCCTGGCCGACTGCAAGATCCCTTTTAAAGGGGATGGCCTACTACCCAATGATAAATACATTCATTATTTTTTTAATTTTATTTTTCAATTACAGTTTACATTCGATATTATTTTATATTAGTTTCAGGTGCACAGCATAGTTGTTAGACAGTACTTCAGAAAAAGATATTTAACATTTTATTGACTCCCTTTCCATATTTGGATTTTGCGTTTGTCACTTGCTCACCTGAGCCTTGATTTCCTCATCTGTAAAATAGGTTGAAGTGATGAGTGAGAGAGTGCATGTAAATCTTCATAGTACATAAGAAGTTGCACAATAGCTGCAGTTATCTCATTATATGACCATTACAACCCTTTGATAGAGGATATATTATAATTCCCGTCTTATTTCTGAGGAAGTGGAAGTTGCGAAAGGTTAAGAGACTTGCATTATGGAGCAGAAGGAACACCTGGGCATCCAACTCCATATCCTGTGCTCTTCCTTTATTATCTGGCCCAACCTGTAGTGCTCCAGCGGTACTTTTGCTATGTTGAAAGCAATATAAGCCTCAGGTTTTTAGCTCCTAATCTGATTTTTCAGAGTAGTCAAGAACCAGCTAGCTGCACAGCTGGCATGTTACCTGTGAAGAGCAGGGATTACTTATCCCTGTCCACACGTGGCTGCCTCTGCCACAGCAGCCAGTCAAAGCCTCATCCGAGGCTGATCAATACTCTGCATTTGATGTGGAAGCATTTGTTTCCCTTGGCTCTTATTGTATAGTGTGGTCCTTGTTCTTTTCTGTGTAAGGTATCCTTTTGTTTGTCAGTAAGGAAAGAAGCAAACACTTGGCCACAACTCGAGGCCTTTATAAACCCCTGAGGCAGATTTTGTCAGAGGCCTCGACACGTTCAGAATAAAGGAAACTGGCTACATGTAGACATAAGCTCTTGCTCCTCCTCTAATGGCACCACCCTTGCATGTGATTTTGCTCTTACCTTACCCTAGGAGACCCCCATCAATTTGAACAGAAGTTCAATTACCGCCGTCCCATGTACCCCATCCTGAGGTACATGTGGGGAACAGACACCTATCGAGAGAGCATTAAGGTGAGAGTGTTTCGGTGAAACCAAACAGCTGTCAGAGTTTCACTACAGATAAGCCCCAGAAAGCTGCAGTTCAGAACTAAACTGGTTTTCTCTTGGCCTGGGCCTTACAGGACTTGGCGGACTATGCCTCTAAGAATTTGGAAGCCATGAACCCCCCACTTTTTCTCCGCTTTCTTAACCTGCTAATGAACGATGCCATCTTCCTTTTGGATGAAGCCATACAGGTAAAAAAAGAAGAAAAGAAAAAAACAGATTAACTGCTCCTGTACCATGAAATCAATGACACAGATGGCAATTTCATGGGACTGTGATTTCAACATGTTTGCTATCCTCGTGCTTCTAGTACTGTCTTAGACACCAGTAATTTGCAAGTGGTAGTAGTGTGCTGCCGGCCTTGCTGTTACAGAGCTTGAGAGGTATTGTCCATTAGAGGCCAAGATCAAGGCCTATTGAAGCCTCACACTGGTTTGATACTTTGGCAGTGGGTGGAAAAGAAAGCGTGATAAGGCCAAACTAAGGTTCATGGGCAGAACTACTTAGGCCAGTGCTACAAGAGTAGCGAGGACCTTGCGTTTGGTCACTGACTTTCACTTCACCCTTTTCTACCCCAACACATTAGCAACAGTGGCTCACTGGGCAGTGATGCCACCCTTCTCTCCTAAAAGATTCTCATTTTTATACCACTGCTTGAAAAAAAACTAGTTTGGGTTATTTTTTCATATAAAGACTAAGTCGTCTATACTCCTTATCTCTCCACTGCCTCCCAAATCTTTAGCTATATAGTAACAAGAGTTTCACAAAATGTAGAACTGGGTGCCTCTCAGCTCCTTCAGTGTGTCATATCCTTTACCATCCCTATGGAGCTGCCTGTTGCTCATGTAAAAATATCCCATATCTGCAACAGGTATGTAAGTAGGGCAGGGACCCAACAGGAGATGTAGCAGGCAAATCATGAGGGTAGCCTGATGGGTAGCCATGACCTCCTCGTATTGATTAGCAATCTCCCAGCAATTTGTATTTCATTTGTGAGAAAATTTTCCAGCTTCTTTCATAATCCTATAAGATTTTAGACAGATTTTCTTAGAAAACAAGAACAACCCATGTGTAAACAGAGCCTTCTAGCAGGAGCTGTGTGACTCAAAAAAATGACAGATGGCATTTTCATGGGACTGTAATTTTAACATGTTTTCTACAGCATCAAGAGAGAGGGTTTTAAATATGGTTCTCCTTCCCGACATCTTGCATGTTTGATGAAGCTTTGTTTTTTGATAAACAGTTTTTTGGGATTTTACTCTTTTTCTATCTTTCAGGAAGGATTCACCCTTTTTTCACTGAGGCCTGTTTGTCTTTGCCTTGGTTTCATATATTACACCATTTACCCTCCTTTCTATTTCACAGACTATAATATTTCGAGAGGAATTACCAAAAAGTCTACCGAGGCTGAAACAAAACTATATGCAGCCACAAATTTTTTTTTTTTTTTTTTTTTTGCCCCCAAAATTTCTTTTTTAGCTTCAGCCCCGTGCTGAGAAATAAAGCCTCATTTCCCTTATGGTAGTCCCTGGTTTTCCCAGCATAGTAGACTAGATTTTAAATATGACCTTCCCTTCCTCTGCCCTTTCTTCTCTGACACATCCGCCTCTGGTTTCTATAGTATTTAAGCAAGATAAAGATCCAACAGATTGAGAAGGATCGAGGTGAATGGGATAGTCTGGCTCCAGAAGCCCGCCGAGAGAAGGAAGCTGGCCTGCAGATGTTTGGACAGCTGGCACGTTTCCATAACATCATGTCCAATGAAACGATCGGTACCCTTGCCTTTCTGACATCAGGTAAGCACAAAGAGCACTGCTTTCCCAAAAAGTGCAGTGGTCTAAATCTGTTAATTTGAGAGATAAGCCCAGCTGAAACTGAGTATTCAAACTCTGGTGACAGTATTCTCCACAACAGGAGAGAGAAATGCATCACTAGAGAGGCTTCAGGAAAATTATGCTGCCCTGTGGACATGGGAATAAGGAAGTGGCCCACCTCACATCACTGCCAGAAAGCACAAATGGGTATAGTTTTTCTTGAGGACAAGTTAGCCACATGAATATATCAGGGGTGGAGAGGAGGATTATTAACCTGAAAAATATTCTGGAACTCTGGTTAAATGTTGTGGATCAACCAAAGACATTTATCTCCATTCCTTCTACAGCTACACTGTCCAGTGCAGTAGCCACTTGCCACATCTGGCTATCAAACATTTAAAATGTGGCTAGTCTGAATTGAGATGTGCTATACGTAAATACACACTGCAAGACTTAATATTAAAACACTTATTAATAACTTTTATGTTGATTACACACCAAATGACAACCAAGAAGCACCAGATATTTGAGGAAATCTTTCTAATATGAAAACTATTTTTTTAGTTTATTGATTTTTAGAGAGAGAGGAAGTGAGAGGGAGAAAGGAAGAGAAAATCAATGTGAGAGACAAATACTGATTGGCTGCCTCCTGTATGCCCCACACTGGGGATCAAGCCTGCAACCCAGGCATGTGCCCTTGACCAGGAATTAAACCTTTCAGTGCACAGGACAATGCCCAACCAACTGAGCCACACTGATCACAGCAATATATGAAAACTTTTTCCAGGATATGTTTTCCATTGCTTTTCAGAGAAAGTGAAAGGGAGAGAGAGAGGAAGACATCCATGTGATAGGGACACATCATTTGGTTGCCTCCCACACATGCCTCGACTGGGGCCAGGCCAGAAATTGAGCCTGCAACTGAGGTACATGTCCTTGGCCGGAATCGAACCAGGGACCCTTCCATCTGTGTGCTCTGACCACTAAGCCAAGCCAGCTAGGGTAATAGATGAAAACTTTTATAAAAATCTTTATAATCTCAGATGGATAAGAGAAGGATCAAAGATAAATTCAAGGAACTCTTCCATGAAAGCAGAACAGAAAGGACTCAGATCAGAATTTAAACTACAGAACAAATCATTGAGAACCTCCTGAAATCTAGCTGAATGGAAGTCATACAACTAAGAATTTAAAGAAGAAGCCACATCGAAACTGGCAGGAGGTATGGAGATGTTCAATGGGCTAGACCCACACTGACATGTAGTGGGTAAAATATAAGAGGTAGCCATGGCCAGTGTGGCTTGGTTGGTTGGGTGTTGTCCTGTGCACTGAAAGGTTGCTGGTTCAATTCCCAGCCAGGGAACATGGTTGCATTTCAGGTTCAATCCCTGGTGCAGGGCATGGAGGAGGCAACCAATGGATGTTTTGCTCTCAAGTCTATTGTATTATCTCTTTTCCTCTCCCTCTCTCTCTTTCTCTAAAAATGAATTTTTAAAACCCTGCAAAAAAATCAGGAGGGATATCTTGGCTGCAGAGGTCACCCCTGCGGAGGGAGGGTTCCTAGCCCCACACAAGACCCCCCATCCCAGGGTGCCAGAGCCAGGAAGAGAAGTCCCCATAACTTCTGGCTGGAAAAACTACTGTGGATTGTGACTGAGTGATATGGAGGCTGCTGAAGTCCCAGGTGTTCCTCCTAAAGGGCCTGCACATGCACTTACTCAGGCTCACTCTCTCTGAGCTCCAGCACTGGGGTAGCAGCTTAATAGACACCAGGGACATCTAGGGAGGAACTGAACTGTCTGGCATCCAGACAAGAGCTGGAGGGGCAGCTTTCTTCCAGAGAAGTGCTGGAAGAGGTCATTGTTCCTTTGTTGAGCCCTCCCTCCCACAGAGCTGACAGGTGGGTGCCATATCTGAGTCTCTATCAACTGGCTAACACTGTTCACCCCACCCTGGTGATTCTCTGAGACTCCATCCCACCAACTTGTAGGCCTATCTGGGCTGATTCCTGTGGCTTTTCCATACAAATGGCCTTCAGACTTTCCTAAAATCTCTCAAACAAGCAGTATCTCGCCTCAGTATACCCCATACTTCTTGCTAACTTGCCCCAGGCCAGCAGTAGCAGCAGCCAGCCTTGGTTCACGGCTTGCTCTCTCCTGGGCACCTCCCAGCAAAGCATAAGAAGCAACCATCTGCAGGTCACTTTGTACCTCATACCATCTGCAGATCACTTTGTAGTCCATGCTGGTTGGCCCCGGGCAGTACACAGGTGGTGGCTGACTTTGGCCTGCACCTCCTGGTAGGTCCCAGAGCTGGCACACTTGGTGGAAAGCTTCAGACCACATCAAAGCACCAGCCAACCACCTCCACAAGTGACACACTGAAGGGATAGACTCAGCGGGCAGCAGAGCCCCGCTGAAGTAAGTCCTGCTCCAGGGGTTGGCTGCTGCACAGCTGATCCTCCACAGTGGTTGCAGCCAGTCCTTGCAGCCAATCACCCTGGGGGTAAATCCCTCCCATTGACGTGCCAACAGCAGTTAAGGCTCAACTACAACAGGAGGATGTACACAGCCCACAATGGGGGCACACCTTGAGTGCCCACTTTGGGTGATAGAGGAGTCTGTGCCACTGGACCCTACAGGACACCTACTACATGAGGCTACTCTATCAAGCCTGAGGGACGTAGCAGCTCTACCTAATACATAGAAACAAACACAGGGAGGTAGCCAAAATGAGGAGACAAAGAAACAAGTCCCAAATGAAAGAACAAAACAAAACTCCAGAAAAAGAACTAAACAAAATGGAGACAAGCAACCTATCAGGTGCAGAGTTCAAAACACGGGTTATAAGGATGCTCAATGAAATTAGGGGAAGAGTGGAGGAACTTAGAACTCCAACAGCATCAGAAAGGACATGAAAACCATAAAGAAAAGAACCAGAATGAAGTGTACACTTTCTGGAATGAAGAATAATTCACAGGGAATCAACAGTCGAGTAGATGAAGCTGAGAATCAAAACAGCAGTTTGGAAGATAAGGAAGCAAAAATCATCCAATCAGAACAGCAAAAAGGAAAAAAATTAGGATAGTGTAAGGAGCTTCTAGGAAACTTAGAGAATACCAACATTTGCATGATGGGGATACCAGAAGGAGAAGAGAGAGAGCAAGAAATTGAAAATATTTTTGAAAAAATAATAATGGAAAACTTGGTGAAGGAAATAGACATTAAAGTCCAGGAAGTGCAGAGAGTCCCAAACAAAATGAACCTAAAGAGGCCCACACCAAGACAATCACAATTCAAATGCAAAAGTTTAATGACAAAGAGAGAATCTTAAAAGCAGCAAGAGAAAAGCAGTTAGTTACCAGAAGAGAGCTCCCATGAGACTGTCAGCTGATTTCTCAACAGAAACTTTGCAGGCCAGAAGGGACTGGCAAAAAATATTGAAATTCCTCTGGCCAGGTAGCTCAGCTGATTAGAGTATCCTACCAATACAACAAGGTTGTGGGTTTGTTTTTAAACAAGAATTATTCAAAGTGATGAAAAGCAAGGACCTACAACAAAGATTACTCTACATAGCAAAACTATCATTTAGAAACCAAGGACATATGAAGAGCTTCCCAGACAAGAAAAAGCTAAAGGAATTCATCACCATCAAACCACTATTACAGGAAATGTTAAAGGGTCTTCTTTAAGAAGAAAGATTAAGGATGGCAATGGACTGATTGGAAGCTACATTCGGGGACCAAACTGGAATTACAACTAAAATATAGAAAGACCATCCTGAATAATCAACTGCAACTGAAGACTAGCTGGAGAGCACCCTCATTACCAAGGAGGAAAAGTGGAGACCTCGTAGAGACTGGTAGGAAGTCTGGAGGTGCAAGAGGGCTGGCTGGGTTCTCATAGGCAGCAGCTGAAGGTCTGGAGGGATATCTCAGCTGTGAGGGGTTCCCACTGAGAACTCTGGGGTCTAATTCCCAGGCTGGCTTCCCAGCCAAGAGCATCAGAACTGAGAAAGTTGCCCACATAACATATGGCTGTGAACACATTGTATGCAGGAAACGTATTTATACGTTTTACGTTGACTGGTGGTAGAGCATGCGATAAAAACTACCCGCAAACAATGTGTGAAAAGCAGCTGAGTTTCTATCTGCCAGGGAGAGACGGCTGGAAATGCAGACACCCTCTTAAAGGGCCAGTGCATAGAGTTCCATGTGCAGCCACTCACCTCGGGCTCCAGCACAGGGAGGGCAGAGTGCACTAGAGCTGTGTGAGGAGAACCTAGGGTTGCGGGCTCTGGAGATATAGCTCAGAGGGCATACCTCTGGATTCCAAACCTCTTGCCCTACCCCCTGGAGTTTCTAGAGCCTGAAGCTCATTAAGAGACTGATAACAATCAGCTGCCCTACCCTGTGGAGTTTCTGCAGCCTGAGGCTCATGAAGAGAACCAGATAAATCAGCCTACAGGCAGAGGCAGACCTCAGAGTACTTTGAGTCTTTGCCTGATCTGTTTCTGGGCCTGGGCCTTGGAAAAGCAGACTTTGGTGTGCATCTTGGTCCTGTCCAAATGCACCCAGACCCAACAGAGGGGAACTCAAGCTGTGGATTGTTGACAGCTCCAAACGGGTTACTCAAGGCCAGTCACAAACAGCTTCTGACATTGCCCTGCACCACAGACCTTCCAAAAAGGCTGAGAGCCCTAGGAGGCCTACCTAATACATAGAAACAAACTCAAATAGGCAGCCAAAATGGGGAGACAAAAACAATCCCCAAATGAAAGAACAAGAGAAGTCTCCAGAAAAAGAGCTAAATGAAGTAGAGAGAAGCAATCTATGGAATACAGAGTTCAGAATACTGATTGTAAGGATGCTCAACAGCATGAAGAAATATATGGAAACTATGAAGGAAAGTAAGAATGACATAGCAGAAATAAAGAATACATAAGAAGGAATAAACAGCGGATTAGAGGAAGCTGAGGATCGGATCAGTGAATTAAAAGACAGGCTAGAAAAAAAAAATCAGAGATACAAAAAGAAATAACAGTTAAAAAACAGGATGACAGCCCAGCTGGGTGTGGCTTGGTGGTTGAGTATCGGCCTAGGATCCAGGAGACTGAGGTTCGATTCCCGGTTGGGGCACATGCCCAGGTTGAAGGCTCGGTCCCTGGTCGGGGGCGTGCAGGAAAGCAGCTGATCAATAACGACTCTCTCTCTCTCTTCCTCTCTCTGAAATCAGTAAAGATATATTTAAAAAAAAACAAAAAACAGACGACAGTCTAAGGGAGCTGTGGGACAACATGAAACAAAATAATATTCACATGATAGGAGTACCAGAGGAGGTGGAAAGTAAGCAAGGGTTAGAGAACCTGTTTGAAGAAATAATGGCAGAAAATTTCCCCAGCCTGGTGAAGGAAGAAGTCACACAAGTCCAGGAGGCAGAGTCCCAAGCAAGAAGAATCAAAAAAAACAAGAAGAAGAATCCAAAGAGGTCCATGCCCAGACACATTATAATTAAAATGCCAAAAATTCAAGACAAAGAACATTGAAGGCAGCAAGAGAAAAGCAATCTGTTACCTACAAAGGAGCTCCCATAAGGCTATTAGCTGATTTCTCATCAGAAACTCTACAGGCCAGAAGGGAATGGCATGAAGTATTCAAGGTAATGCAAAACAAGGATCTGAAACCAAAACTACTGTATCCAACAAGGTTATCATTCAAAATAAATGGTGAAATAAAGAGCTTCCCAGACAGAAAAAGGCTAAAGGAGTTTATCACCGCCAAACCAGCATTGCAGGAAATGTTAAAGGGACTGCTGTAATAAGAAGAAGAAATAGAGAGAGAAACATAGGCATAAAGAATTAAAATGGCAATAAATAAGGTCCTATCAATAATAACCTTAAGGACTTTAAAGGAGAGATCCACAGCCATACAGTCATAGTCATGGACTTTAACACCCCACTGATTTCACTGGACCGATCTTCCAGACAAAAAGTCAACACAGAAACAGTGACTCTAAATGGCACACTAGATCAGATAGATTTAATTGACATTTACAGAACATTTCACCCCAAAGCTGTAGAATATACATTCCTCTCAAGTGCACATGGGACATTCTCAAAGATAGACCACATTTTAGGACACAAAACAAGTCTCTACAAGTTCAAGAGGATTGAAGTCATATCAAGCATCTCAGATCACAAGGGCATGAAATTAGAAATCAACCTACAGTAAAAACACTCAAAAACATTCAAACACATGGAGGCTAAATAACATGTTATTAAACAATGAATGGGTTACCAATAAGATCAAGAAAGAAACCAAAACCTTCCTGGAAACAAATGAAAATGAACACATAACAACCCAAAATCTATGGGACACAGTGAAGGCAGAAATTCATAGCACTGCAGGCCTACCTCAAAAAGCAAGAAACATTTTTAGTAAACTATCTAACCCTACAACTTAAAGAATTAGCTCCCCTGTGAAGCTGTCTGGACCAGGGCTTTTGTTTGCTGGGAGTTTTTTAATTACTGCCTTGATTTCATCAGTTGTTATTGGCCTGTTCAGGTTTTCTGATTCTTCCTGATTGTTTCACATGATCTCACTCATATGCGGAATCTAATAAACAAAATAGACTGAGGAATAAAATAGGTCCAGAGACATAGAAGCATGGAACAGACTGAGGGATCTCAGTAGGAAGGCGGAGGTGGGAGGGGGGGGAGAGATTAATGTAAGAACTTATATGCATATATGCATAACGCATGGACATAGACAATAGGGGGGTGTGGATGTGGGTGGAGGGGGTCAATGGGGAAAAAGGAGGGATATCTGTGGTACTTTCAACAATAAAGATAAATTTAAAAGTAAACTGTAAGAAGAAAAAAGATCAATAATATGAACAATAAAATGACAAACATATATCTGTCAACAAATCTATAAAACAAAATAAACAGAACAGAAACAGACTCAGATACAGAGAACATTTTGATGGTTGCCAGATGGGAGGGGGTGTAGGGGCTGGGTGAAAAGGGTGAAAGTATTAAGGAGTACAAATTGGTTGTTCCAAAATAGTCACGGGGATGTAAAGTACAGCAGAGGGAATAGAGTAAGTATCCTAATAACTATGTATGGTGACAGATGGGTACTAGATTTATCAGGATGACCACTTAGTATGTCATATAATGTCTAATCACTGGGGTCTACACCTGGAACTAATATAATATTGTATATCAACTATAATTGAAAAATAAAAATTATTTAAAATAAATTCAAAAAAGGGAAGCAGAACAGAAAGATGAAAATAAGGATAAGAAAATAAAGGATCTATCTAGGAAGTCTCAAAAGAGGAAATTGGGAGGAAGGAAATTATCAAAGAAATGATGCCGAAAAAATCCCCAAGGGTAAAAGCCTCTAAATTGAAAGGAGCCACCAAGCACAGCGAATTTTTTTAAAACCCCACACTAAGATATATCATTGTACATTTCAGAAAATCAGAGTAAAGAGATGACCCTAAAAGGTCCCAGAGAGAAAATCAGGTCATATACAGTGGTTTAAGTATCAAAATGTCTTTAAATTTCACAGCAGTGACATTTGAAGCTGGAACATTCCTGATAGGAAATCATTTTTTCAGCCTAGAATCCTGTAGTCAGCCAAACTATCATTCCTGTTAGAGGGTAAAGGGTAAGGATATTTTCAGACATGAATGCATGAAATTTACTTTCAGTGTCCCCTTTCTTGAAAAGCTACAAAAATATATACTCCATCAAAATGAGGGAGTAAACCCAGAAGGAGGAAAGTGGAATCACATAAGAGACACGCAGGAAGTTCCCAGGGTGACAGTAGAAGGAGCCGTGTGACCCGCACAACAGGCCTGTAGAACAAGGAGTCCAGATTAGAGTAAGAAATGGAAGCTTCCAGAGAGAACATTTCCCAAAATGCAGAACTGCTAGGAATCATCCTATTGAGAGTTTTACATTTCTGGTGAAGAGTTTTAGAAAGATTTAGTGATAGGTTCTGTGAATATAAGCAAACAAACAAACAAAAAAAGTATTAAAATGTATATAGTTGACACTTTTACAACGTGGAGGTTAGTGACACTGACCCCCACCTCTGCGCAGTTGAAAACCCAGGTATAACTTTTGACTCCCCAAAAGTTAACTACTAATGGCCTACTATTGACTCAAGCCTTACTGATAATATAGTCTATTAACATGTATTTTGTAAGTTATATGTATTATATACTGTATTCTTAGAATAAAGTAAGCTAGAAAAGAAAATGTTATTAAGAAAATCATAGCCCGGCCGGGCGTGGCTCAGCGGTTGAGGGTCGGACCTAGGATCCAGGCGATCGGGGTTCGATTCCTGGTCAGGGCACATGCCCAGTTGCGGGCTCAATCAATGACTCTCTCATCATTGATGTTTCTAACTCTCTCCCTCTCCTTTCCTCTCTCTGAAATCAATAAAGATATATTTAAAAAAAAAAAAAAAATCATAAAGAGAAAAAGACATTTACAGTATTTATTGAAAAAAATATGTGTATAAGTGAACCCATGCAGTTCAAACTGGTATTATTCAAGGGTTAACTGTATAATACACTGTATAAAAGTGTATTTCTGGGTGATAGTTTTTGTATTTTATTTGTTTGCTTTTGCCTGTCTATATTTTCTAATATTACTGCAGTGAAAATGTATTACTTATGTAATTTTTAAAAATAGTAGTCCCCAGAGGTCTCCAAGCAAAACTCTAAGACATAAAAGATTGCTAATGAATTGAGTTTTTACAGTCTGGCTTTTTTTCCAGAGATCAAATCACTCTTTGTGCATCCTTTCCTGGCTGAGCGCATCATCTCCATGCTGAACTACTTCCTGCAGCACCTGGTTGGCCCCAAGATGGGGGCCTTAAAAGTCAAGGACTTCAGTGAATTTGACTTCAGACCCCAGCAGCTTGTATCAGATATCTGCACTATCTACTTAAATCTTGGGTACCTGAGGTTTAACTTGGGCAAGCCAGAGGGGATGCTAATGTTTTAATTTGGGGTTTTGATAATGGAATGACTGGTTGGTAATTATGTGGAAACAGAAAAAAAATGTTTCGTTTCTAGTTGGTTGGTGAAAGAATCTTCTGGAGTTTTAAATAATGAGATTTTTGTATGACCTGTGGGACATTGTTCAGAATTTCCAACATTCTGCCTTGATCTGTGCAAAGATAAACTTTGCTGGTTGTACCACTGTTTGAAAAAGCAGTATTCTTTTAAGGCCACAGAATACTGGATAGACTTCCTACCTAAAAATTAGAAGGAATCTCTATCAAAAGAACATTCATGGCATTTAAGTGATGGGGACCCTTGTTCCTCAGCGCATTGGTTATCTTCTCTGATACTCCATTTCTTCCCCCTGCTGACCTTCCAGGGATGAGGAGAATTTCTGTGCCACTGTCCCCAAGGATGGACGTTCCTATTCCCCAACTCTCTTTGCACAGACAGTCCGAGTCCTGAAGAAAATAAATAAGCCTGGGGATATGATTGTGGCTTTCAGCAACTTAGCAGAGAGAATCAAGGTGAGGAGGAGGATAATTTATTAACATGTTCTATAAAAATCACATTGTTGGCCTGGCCAGTGTGGCTCAGTCGGTTGAATGCACCAAAAGGTCATTTGCTCCATTCCCAATCAGGGCACATGCCCAGGTTGCAGGCTCGATCCCCGGTCAGGGTGCATATGGGAGGCAGTGAATCGATGTTTCTCTCTCCCTCTTTCCCCCTTCCTCTCTCTCTAAAAAAATCAATAAAAAAATATATATATATTTTTTTAAGTCACATTGTGGACTCAGCTGTTTTGCTCTTAGGGGGTGGGGGAATCATTGCCTTGAGAAAATATAAACATGATTAGTCAATAACTAGAACTATACTATACTATATTATTAGTATTGATCTTTTTTATTACTGATTTTAGAGAGAGAGCAGGGGATAGAGAGAAATATTGATTTGCTGTTCCACTTACTCATGGGTCATTGGTTGATTCTTGTATGTGCCTGACCAGGAATCAAACCCACAGCCTCGGCATATCGGGACACTGCACTAACCGTCTGAGCCACCCAGCCAGGACAGGACTACTACTCTTGTCAGTGTGAGGGTGAGAACAGAAAAATCGATTTAGGAAGCTTCTGCTGGAAGAGAAGGACATGCAGACTTCTTAGGCTGTGTCTGTGGAACTTATGTGCAGTGTTACTGATAGACTGGAAAATCCACACTGCTAATGCAGAGAGCTTTTTAAAATAGAATTCAAGATGAGTTGTTTTTAGTCATTGATTTTTATTGATTTTCTCTGTTCTCTATACTTGTGGTTGGTTGTTGGCTGATGTGGGACTAGCCATACATTTTAAAGATTAAAATACTGTATTGTATTTAGCTGACAACCCCTTTGGCTGGAGTATGACAGAGCTTCATTAGCAGTTATGAGAAAGGGAAAATCATGGCACAGCATCTGATAGAAAACTTTCCTTACTGATACCAGTCTTCCCTTCACTGAGTTACTTATTTCTTGAGTTGGGCTCCATCTTTGCCTAGTGTTTAGCCAGACAGGGCCCTGAGGAACTAGAGTCATGAAAGAATCAAATGTTGAAGCCACTTTTAAATTCTTATACCTGTTTGTACCTAAAACTGGAAACTGCTTTTCATACACAGACTGCATGAGTGACTGTAATTATATGCAAATAATAGCCCTCCACCCCATCCCCTTTTGAATTATGACATTTACAGCAGGACTGTTGCCAGAAAGATGTCATGTGCTTCTTTTCCTGTTAACACTTCAACCCATTTTCAGTCATGAATGCTAGCAGTTGAGCCAAATTGAAGTTTCAGAGTGGGGGCTAGATGCTAAATTTGCTCCCGTAATACCCATCTTGGCTTGCTTAGGAAACAAAGTTGAGAATTGTCATTGTCACTACCTTTAATATATATACTCTTTAAGGCTATACACCCTTTAAGGTATAGTCAGTGAGCATTTTGAATTCATCTGCTCTGTGAATTCACCTCAACTGCTAGGTGTTTGTGCTCAGTCTCTAGCAGACCTCCAGCAACAGGAGGAGGAGACCTATGCAGATGCCTGTGACGAGTTCCTGGATCCCATCATGAGCACCCTGATGTCTGACCCTGTGGTGCTGCCATCCTCCAGAGTCACTGTGGACAGGTCCACCATCGCCAGACATTTGCTCAGGTGCGCCAGCCCACAAAAGCAGCCTTGGTTGTACAGATGTATGATTACTTGCTGTCATCTTTTCCCCCATGTTCCTAAGTACAGTGTAGTACACCCAGTAGGTGCCCCAGAATTGACTTATTACCGTGTCGGGGAGGCATTGGTAGAGGTACATCACTTGATTGTTAAGGATTTAAGCATCCAAACCAAGACACCTTGTTGAGAAATGCTGCTTCTAACCTTATCTATTCCTTCCTTAAGGAAATAATTTCTGTTAACATATGTTATAAAATATGTTAACCTAGAGTATAAGTGGGCTTGAAATTGTTTGAATTTTATAAAATGTAAAGATAAGAGTGTCTTCTTTTTTAATATTCAGGTTTTTTAAACTATAGGCATCATATGGGCTGCTGCTGTGCTCGATCCTGGTGTCTGGGGTTTTCCCAGCCCACCTGTTTCAAGTGCAGCATTATGTAGAAATGGGGACTGAGGGGCTCTGCCTATGTAAGATTGAGTTATATAAGTTGACCCAAATTAGTGGAAATATGTTTTTTTAAATATTGGGCCCCCCCAATATTTTCGACTTCATGGTATTTGGTATTAAGCATTCACTATATGCATGATACTGTGCTAGGTGGTATGTCTTTTCCAAAATGTGAGTGAAAATTTATATTTTATTTTATTGTGGCCTCAGAATAAAAAAGAGAAGATATATCAGCCCTTAAAGTATATTATAAACCTCCTTACCTGTCAGGAAACCATAAACTGCATCTACTTGTAAGCAGTCAGCTGCTAAGTCAGTTCACAAGGCTTTCTCCCTTAACATCTCATTCTGTTTTGAGAGCCCGTCACTAAAACTACAGCTCTTTGTGCTGACATGAGTGTGCAGGGCCTCTGCCTGAGGGAAACTGAATCAGGTATCTGAACAATGTTGAAATACAGTTAAGAAGCAGAAAGACAAAGTAGCTAGATAATCTGCAAAAAAAAAAAACAAAACAGAACAACAGAAACCTCCTGAATCATTCTTTCTCATGTCACTTTTTTTTTTTGGTATCTTTATTGATTTCAGAGAGAGGAAAGGAGAGGGGGAGAGAGAGATACAAACATCAATGGTGAGGGAGTCAATTGGCTGCCTAGCCCACAACCCGGGCTTGTGCCCTGACCGGGAATCAAACCCTGATCACCTGGATCCTAGGTCAACGCTCAACCGCTGAGCCACGCCCGCCGGGCCCGTGTCATTCTTTCTAACCTCCACTCAGCACTTCATTCAGTTCTAACACACTCTAGCTTCAGTCTCAAAGTGGGACCCCAGGTGTTCTAGTTTGGACTTAGGATGTTAGAACTTACGGAAATAACCCCATTTTCCTTTCTCTCTTTGTCCCAGTGACCAAACAGATCCCTTTAACCGTAGTCCCCTCACCATGGACCAGATCCGGCCAAACACAGAACTAAAAGAAAAAATCCAACGGTGGCTCGCAGAGAGGAAACAACAAAAGGAGCAACTTGAATAAATACTGTGACCTGAAAAAACCAAAACCAGCCCAGAGTGTAGATAAACAATTGTTTGTGATTTCTCTTGGGTTCTGTTCCTTTTTTTCTTTACTAAATTGGAGAACCAGTCTTGCTCTAATTATAATTAAGATTCCTAAGAACTTGACAGTACTCTCCTGGCTTGCAGAAAATCCGTTCCTAGCACCACCAAGATTAGGAATCATCACTAATGTTTACCCTCTGCTTCTATCCTATTCTTCCTCCTTCCCTTTCCTGCCATAAATTATATTAACTTCAACTACCAAAACTCCCTGCAACCTTACTATTTCTCATCCAAGAACTGCTCAGACATCTTTGGTGAGCACTGCTTTTAAGTATATGACGTCGCATATTTCAGTGACAGCTGGTATTGTCAGAAAGTCCTGTTATCAAGGTATTGACTAGTCTTCCTAACCCAGACTTCAGCTCTTTCCCTTGTTACAGCTCTACAGTATTACAGGGTAACTTTTCACATGAAAGCAGGTGAAGAAAGGAATCTTACGCCATTCTGTTGATAGCTCTTAATTTTGTGTTACCTTGTAACTCAGAGATACAGTGGAAAACAAACAATCCCCCATGGGGTTGTCATTACCACAGAAAATAGCCCTACAATATTTTTAGGAGGATTAACAGGACAAACTTGCAGTTTTTGACACTATTCAAAAAATCCTGAGGTGAAAGAATAGAGGAGTCTGTTGGGCCCAGTTCAGCTTATGGAAATCAGTTGCTACAAGAGCTAGGCTTGAGTAAAGATGTTGGACGACAAATATTGTCAGCAGGAAAAATGTCATTTTAAGACACTAATATCAACAGTGTATCTCAGTATATACACCATGTGCTTTTTTATACTGGTTTAGCGTAAACTGAGTCCCACTTTAAATTGTCTCTTCTGTGGTAAGATGTATGCAGTGTATGGCCACCAACACACTTATTCTAGACAAAATTCTGAGACTGAAATGTATATAGTTAACATTTGGGCTTATGACCTGAATTCCAAGAACTGCTTCTAACTCAGCCTTAGGTCAGCAATTAACAAAGAAGGAATTTGAGGACAGCTTTGTTCACAAACCATTTTAAATATCAACTTAGCCCTGTGTAGTTAGTAGGTGGGTGGGCCCCCACTTTTACAAGTTGAGCTTGAGTTCCCTACTCAATTGTGCAGCTCAACATGCTAAGTGAGGCACAGTCCCCTATGGACTGTCTGTATCACTGTACCTATTAGGCCAAAGATACCCTAAGTGACAAGAAAAAGGTATGGTCTGGAAATGGATCATTGCTTCATTTAGAGGACATTATTGTTAACCATGGTGTCTTTCAAATAAGATGTCAGTTTCATAATATTCCAGGTTTCTGTCAACAGCCCTTGATATGTTTTTGATGGTATCAGCTGGAAAACCACAAATCAGAGGGCATACCACACTAGATATAAAGATGTTGCCTATTGCTGTGCTTGAAAATTAAAGGGAGGTCTAAGGCATGCCAGTGGCAGAATGTAAGGCAGTAAATTCAGTGTCCCCTGGGCCCTGAAGGCATGGTTGACAGGATTTGTTTATTTCCTTAAAATAAGCTTCATGTCATATTTATTATCCTCCTCTACTGAGAATGAACTGTATAAAATAAGCCTTTACCTACTTGCATTTATCTTCCAAACCCAATCTAATAGGATGTTTTCATTTTTAAAAGAAGACCAGAATTTTATAGGAGAAAATTGGAGGGAAAATGGGCACAAAACCTCAGAAGGCAGCTGTTCCCAGCATCTTTCTAGTCAACAACCTCTATGTTTGTATCTGTATCTGTATTCCACTTCCGTATTCAGTCTTCAGATTGTAAGCCTGTCCTGGCAAGCTTTTTTTTAAGCCCTTTTCCTGAAACTTATGAATGGCTATGGCACTGTTAATGCTGCTAAATGTCTTTAAACTCATTACAAAGGCAAGTGCATAGCTTAAGTCCACTATTGGTAAGGAAACCAAATAATTTAAGAACATCCCAAAAATGAGACTAAAAAATTATCATTTTGATACAGTGCAGTGCATATATGCACTTGGAAGCTTAAAGAGGTGTTTTGTTTTCTGGAACTATGAAGCAGCTCAAAATCTATTGGAGCAGACTCTGACAGACCTAATTTTGTGTTGGCTTTGCTGGAGTACAACAGGAAAATGAAGACTCTTTAATCAGCTCTAATATTGCTTACTAAGAGGATAATACTAAACTTGGAAAATTAAGTAGGTTTTATCAAGCATTCTGGTTTTGTCTTTTTTTAAAGGATATGTAAAACCTGAACGAAACTTTGTTTTTAATGGTGCAGGTAAAGGTGCCAGTTGCTGTTTGGTATCACACTCTACAAAAGCGTCATTATTTTATTTGATGCCAGTTGCTAAGCAGCTGTTGCACAGAGCAGAAGTCTGCTGGGGTGCCTTTACCAGCCAGAGGCTGATGCTGCACTGTTGATGACTTGAGTACATAATGCACGTGCTCTAACTGCTAAACAGGAAAAGAACTTAGAAACAAAACAAAAAATGAAGAACAAAAACAACAAAAAGGTTGACTGAAATAAAACTTGAGATCAACATAACTGTGTTTTGAAACATTCCAGGAAGGTTATTTCTTGTCAAACTCACCTGGGGGTGTTTGTTCAAAGCTTGTATTTAATAAATGAGCACCTAACTTATAACCTTTGTTATCCCGTCCTTTATTACAGTATTAAAAGCTTGTGGCAGTTTCAGAAATCCCTCTGGAAATGTAAAGAACTCTGACCTTCACTTTTGTTGAAGGTAGTATCAAATTGTGACCTGGCCGACCTAACCTGCCTTCCCAGGTAACCTCTGGATCCTGTAATCTTTGGAAGATGAATCTCCTAATCAGCTCACTTTTGGCTTCACTTTTCTTTGTCTTTCATTTTAATCTTTTTTAAGTTTTTTTTTAATATGCCTTTATTTCAGAGAGAGGAAAGGACAGGGATAGAGAGAAACATCAATGATGCCCACAACCCAGGCATGTGCCCTGACTGGGAATTGAACCCAGATCTCCTGGATCCTAGGTAGATGCTCGACTGCTGAGCCATGCCAGCCGGGCTCATTTTAATCATTTATTACCATGTTCCCCTTGCCCCTTGTTTCTGTACCTCTGCCATGCAAGACCTCAGCCTAGATTAACCCAGTCATTCCCCTCTGCTCCAATATCCAAACCACAGACCACTGTTGGAGAAAAATGACATGATCTTTAGAATGATGCAACCACAAACTTGTGGTTTCTAGCACTGCCTAAAACCCTTCTGTGTCCTTAACTCCAACAGTTATTCCCTAACTGTTATTCCCTAACTCTAACCTCTTTCCTCAAGTTCTTTCCCACCCTCCCACTTACCCTTCACACTCAGGTGACCTTGCCTTCAACTTCACTAGAAAGACAGAGACTTAGAATTTTCACTTTCAAAATTCTCTCCCATCATCCCATCTGTGGGAAAGGCCCCACCTTTCCCAGTCTAATCCCTCCAACCTTCTTAACTGCCTCATCAGGGATTTTGTCAGTCCCCCTTCTCTATCTTCAATTGCTTCCACATCCCTATTTGGTTTTCTGACTTGTTTTCGTTTATAGCCATGTTTCTTCATTCACTCTGGCTTCTATCCTAATTTTTTTTAACTGCTCCATCTAATGTTTCCATATTGCCAAATTAACTTCCCCATCCTTAATTGACCTCTCTGTAGTGTAAGGCAGCTGAGTCACTCCACTGAAATCCTGCTCTTGGCTCCTAATTTTCTGTCCACCTCCACCCCATCAATCCACAGGTTTGGATTCTGCCCAGGCTTCCCTAGGGTACCTTACATATCATTCTGTTTTTCTCACCAAATGCCACTTCCCTACTACTCGCTTTCTCCCAGTCATGCTCAGCTCTGCAGTACGCGCTGTTCTGTTACACGCGGGCCCGAGGGCTCCTTGAACGCCTGCCCGGGTCCGCACGGCCCCAGACCCCGCCTCTGCCCTCGCGAGCTACGTGGCATTTATCAGACCCGCTCTGAAAGGAGCCTCTCCCTGACTTACAGGCCGGCACACTGGGAGGCCCCCGAGAGTGCTGTCCCTGATTCCCGCCTAGTTTCCTGTGGCTGGTCAGGGAATTGGGGGGCCTGGGTTCCAGTGCTGACTCCGGACGCGGGGAAGCCCGGATTACAAAAGATCAGCTAAAGAAAGGCCATGGGCGCCTGCTCTGCCCCTAGCTTCTCAAGTGCGGCCTAGGACCCTCTCTGCCTTTGAGACGCGATCGCATTAGCGGCGCCTCCCAGCCCAGCTCGGCTGCGTCCCAAAGGCGAGAGCACCTCCGGCGGCGCGAGGCCGGGTCGGGAACGCGGGCGGCCCCGACGCATGCGCCTCCCCGCCCCTCCGCCCCCGGCTTCCGGCTT